TTTTCTTTTCACCCGCCTGCGATTATCGTGTAGAGGATTTTTGCTCATGCATCTTGTTCTTCCTCCTCTATCCCAACGTTGTACCATCCGGTCGATCGCTTTTATGTATAACCAGCGCCGTGTGACGGCCTGTCTCCCCCGGAGAAGTATGGCCTATAGCTTCCGGCATCCCCTTTGCACTACCACCCATTAACTCTAGAGAGCTAGAATGGACAACATGAACCGTCTCTTGCTCGGCCCCCTCCAATCTCCCTCCGTCCAGCATCCAACTGAAACATCAATTGCCGGCCGGCAATAACATATAACCCATAAGAGATAGACCGCATCTCGTATATGTATGGTTCCTTCTCATGTATTATGTATATGTAGTGACTCCCACCCCATTTTTGCCTCACGTCGCCTAGCTCAGCAACGTCCCAACATATTCAGCCTTTCTTCCAAATCCAAACCACCCTGAGTAACCAGCTAGGCCTTCCCACTGCACCAAGAATCGGTCGACGAGAGGGAAAAGGATCTTTCCCGACAAACTCACGGTAGTCACGCGAGCCCAGGACTCGATGAATATCGTCCGTAGATATCGTCTGGTTCCACGGCGTTGATCTCGAGGCCCGGAGTGGGAACGGGACTCGGGGCCAGAGTAGGTACTAGTCTTGGACTTGAAAGAGATATCTGATCTGGTCTGGGGCAGGATGCGGCATACCAGCGGGTCGAACAGACGGAGAAGTCGGGCGGCCACGACCACGCAGACTCCCGTGCCAGGCCCGTTCGTAAGAATGATGTCAGGATATCCGGGGCAAGGGGAGCTTGAAGAACTTGAGTGAGCGGTGAGGGTGAGTTGATCGGGATGTCTGCCCATAAGCACCAGCATGCAGAATCCGAAGCATTGCAGCGTAGTCAACGGCGCAGTCAGGAAGGATTGATGGACCCTCCTTGCGCGAGGGACCGTTATGATGGTATAGTTGCTGCTCTTACTCTCATCCTGGCCCATTTGTTCACTGGTTCCAATGCTTTCTTCATACTCGACGGCTTTCCTCGCGCTGAATGCGTCTCCAGAGCTTACGATGTATGTACGTCTGATATACACCGCTGGATCCAGCTCCGCATATCTGAGCATGGAGAGCATCTCCTCCGTATGTCCTCCACTTCCCAAGACAACCAGAAGATGGACTGGACGGCAAGGCTGTCTCACTTGTGCCTGTATATCCATCTTGCCCGGCCAGAACATTGCCAACTATCCACAGGTTTAGCTATGTAATCATTCAGCCTAGGAGTGAGGTTTCAACTGTACCGTAACCAAGCAGATAAGGGCCAGCAAGGCCACGGCCGCTGTGAGAACTGGATACTCCATGGCCAAAAGCAGCATTCACTGGGGTATCAATGGTATCAATCTATCACAAACTGTCTGTCAATTGTTTGATGCAGCTTTTGTATCTGCCGCCTGCGTGTCTCATCTCCTGGTAGCCAACAGGCAGTTACCGTATGGCTAGAATTCACGACCGACGTCTCCTCCCTTCCAGCATCTTCAGCCGCCTGCCCGGCTCTGCTGGCTATTGTATTCTGGTCTAGTTGTTGTCTGCTATTGAGTGCTAGTTGTTATTGACTGCCGAAGAGGTGTTGTTGCTCCGTCGGCGATTAACGAGCTAGCGCGCCTTAACTAAAGCCGCCAGCCGCCCCGAAAAGCGAAAAGAAAAGTTGACGATAACAAATAAAATAACTAATGATAATAATCAAAATAATAACAACCACCTTCTATCACTCCACGACCCGGGCCTTGCTTGCTTGCTTCATGTAGGCTGCGATGGCTCCCTTCTTCCAAAAGCGACTGCGATGCTTCTACTGCGGCGGAAACTCTAGGCAGATATACAAGAATGCCGTCCGGCGGTGGAAGTGCGAGAGCTGTCAGGCTGTCAACTATCTAGACGAAGTACGTTGCCCATCGAAACAACCTGTATCTACATCTATACTGACGGCGGCAATGGGTAGAATGGCGAAATAACCGATCCGCCGGTCGCTGAGGTGTCGACGGAGAAGCGGTTCCATCGGTACGCTGCTCCCGTTTCGCCGTCAATATCATCACTATCACAATCCTTCGAGGAGCAGCCAGAGCAACCAAGTGCGGCCGATTCTACCATCTTCTGCTCTACCTGCCAGAAGAACCAGTATCTCTTCACCCAGACATTGGCTTCGTATCTCCCGGACCCGTCACACCCCGAGTATGCGGCCTACGAAAAGTCATATCCGTCCTATAAACGGAGCTTGGAGGAACGCTACCCGCAGGTGTGTGAGAAATGCAAGCCGCGGGTCATCGATCGCATCAGACAAGCCGGATACGCAGCTAAAACAGACCATCTGCGGCGCATGATGGAACGTAGCAAGGGCAAATCGACCCGGAAGCGAAGGCAGATGTGGAAGTGGAAGAGCCTGTTGGTTTCTACGGGCGCCTTTTCGTTCTGGTCAAGTGTTGCTGGCCAACTAGTCTGGGACGTCGTCGCCTTTGCATCTTCCGCTTACGAGCTGCAGGAGGTAGAGGTGGCTTCAATGTCGATGTCCTCTCTCGGAAGCCACTGCGTTTCTAGCTCCGTCCAAAATTTTCGCATTCCCGGAGAGTGTGCTACGTTTCTTGCACCTTATGCCGGCCTTTCGTTGATTCTCGGTGCATTTGCTCTCTGGTGGAACCCGAAGCTGAGACTGAAAGTTGAAGGCCATCATGGCCGGTTGATTGGACTACGAGAGTATTATCGTATTCAGATTGTTGCTCTCATGGTCAGGTTTATGGCGTGGGCCGGTTTGCAAGACCCTGCGATTACGGGCCTACATCCCCATTTAAACCCGTCGATACATGCTTTTGTGGCTATATTTACCTTGATTGTAAGTCGTGCTGCTTTTCTCGTTTACCAAGGTCTCTGGAATTATACTAATGGTGGATAGACTACCTTTGCATCAACATCTACTATCAAATTCGAAAAGAGACCGCTTGTTGATTGGCATGACCATACCGAGGAATTGCTATCCAGTACAAACAGCAGCGATGGAACGCAGTTGAAGAGTCCTCCAGAGCCACAAGCCTCTGAGATAGGCAGCCAGTCAGTTCCTAAGCGGTTTCCTATTGCCAGCCTCGCGCCACGCCGTTTGGCTACCCCCGAGCCATACATCCCACCAACTCCTCCACTAGACCCTCGACAGGAAGATGTCGATGCGATGGACTGGACTCCATCCCGGCCGTCTCTGCAAGTCCCGGTTAAACCTACAAGTCAGCAGGCATCAGCACTTTCTTCTTCAATGCTCTTCCAGGGCCAGCTACCCCAAGTGCCAAAACCGCCATCATGGAACCTTCGGAACCCAGTTGTGGGAAAGGCGGAACAGATCCAGAAAAAACCCAACCCATTCCATCAAGCTCCTGTCTTACAGCCTACACGGCTCTCTTTAGAGGAAGACGAGATTGAGACGGAAGACGAGGATGATCAGAAGCATAAACCGGTCCGGACTGATGCTGTCTTCGCGGCGCCCAAATTTTTCCCTCCCGGACTAACAGCCGAAACTGGCCTGGAGAACCTGTTTGACCAAGCTTTCTCCATCGCCGATGGACCGAGTGCCCAACAGAACCAGCCTGGTCAAGCTTCTATCAACCAGAAGTCTACAGCTTCTGGAAACAAGCCAACACATGTCTTGCGAACTACCCTCCTGCTATCCTGTCTGGTCTTGTGGATAATCACCAAGGTATATACCGAGCCCGCAAAGTCTATAGAGTCGGTGATACTTGGTATATCCTTCCTTGTTGCTGCCTTTTCATTTTTGGAGTCCCTGATGAAGCCAATGGCAGTCTGGAATGTGACCGAGATCTTGCTGTCTATGTTTGAATTGGTATCTTGCCTTTACCTGGCTGTGGTCCAGGCTCGTCAACTTGACAGCCCAGTTGGCCTGGATAACGCTGGGATATATTTGGTTTCCTTCATGATGGGACATGAGATGTTTGGACTTGGGCCTCTCCTGGCCCCCCATACCAGCCTGACAGAGCCCAAAAATACCCCCAAAGCCGCAGAGGCAGAGACAAGGACAGACAAGAAGCCTTTTTCTCCTACGTCATCCGCAGCCGGGTCGTTTACTACCTTGAGCATGAGCCAAAACAGCCTCTCTCCAGGCAGCCGGTACGCCGGTAGCCCCCAAGCGAGACGGCCACAGACCGCCAACAACAGAATGAGCCCTAATACCAACTCTCCACCAAGCGTCCTCCCCCAAAGACACCACAACAGCTTTCCTGACTTTGCGACGCGATTGAAGGCAACACCACAGCCATCATTCACACCTACTACTGCATTTGCAGGCTATACTCCAGCCCCAGCTGCCAGGAGACCAAAGCCAACTCTGTCATTCTCCCCATCATTTGACTCAGCTTTGCAAGACAGCCCCTTCTCCCCTACCTCTACAGCATCAGACTCTGCCTCGTCAGTTGCATCAGAAGTCCAAACGCCTGTTTCCCGGCTTAGATTTTCAAACATAGGCCCTAGCAACCCCAGTCCCTCAATTATCAAATCTCTAAACCTCAATGACGGCCCAGCGCCTCGAGCCACGCCTAATGCACGGTATTCACTACGCCAGAGGCGTAACTAAAAATGATACCAGACAGGCCACTGACGCTTTCTTTCTTCGTCTTCGTTTGTTAAAAAATACCATTTGGCTTCTTTAGTGTATGTTACCCTTGATGATCCATATTGACTGGCCTACCCTCGTTCTGTACACACAAACTAGTACTGCATACCTAGACAGTATATGGCGTTTTGTGGAGATTAGCGTCGTACTGACTTTTGATACCTGGACGTTCACTTTCTTTTTTATTAATGCAATGTATGTGATGATGTGAATTATTTCTTCTACCGTTATATCTGTTTTACCGGAAATCTAGTCAGGGTAAGAATAATCTCGAGATGTATTTTAAAATTAAGATGTCGACATGTCCAAATGTATATGCATTAAGAATTTGAGATCTAGATCTAGCTGACCAAAGTTAATAGGGTAGGCACACGAGCCGTGTATCACAAAATGGGCTACCCTGGATTCTGCCTAATAGCGAAGATATGACTGCAAGTTCACTTTGCCTGTTCGTCCTTATTCTGCGTAGGAGCAATCGTTGGCCGTGTGGGTATTGTCTGTGGCAGCGGAGGAAGCAAGTTCTTCGCGGCTTCCCTGGCATTCTGTGCCATGAGGGCATCTATGACGACCAGAGCAGCCATGGCCTCAACGATGGGGACGGCTCTTGGTACGACACAGGGGTCATGTCGCCCCTTTGCTTCGAGAACACCTTCCTCAAAGTTATAAGAAGCGGTTGTCTGGGCCTGTCCAATAGTCGCTGGTGGCTTGAAGGCAACACGGAAGTAAATTGAGGCTCCATTGGAGATACCTCCCTGGATACCACCAGAGTTGTTGGTCTTGGTAGTCAGCTTCTTTCCAGAACCGTTAGTCTCTACCACGAAGGGATCATTGTGAGTCGATCCAGGCACTTCACAGCCCAGGAAACCAGAACCGATCTCGAAGCCCTTTGTAGCGGGGATCGAGAGCATAGCGTGTGCAAGCTTAGCTTCTAGCTTATCGAAGCAAGGCTCTCCCAGGCCAACGGGGACGTTTCTGATGACACATGTGACGGTCCCTCCGATGCTATCTGACAGATCGCGATGATGTTCAATCAACTTAGTCATTCTTTGAGCAGCTTCTGCATGCGGACATCGAATCGGGGCGAAGGAGTCCACAGTCTTCCGGTCAATTGTCTCGATGAGCTTGAGGAAGTCCGGGTTGGTTACCGGGCTGGGGTGCTCGGGTGTGGGAGGGAAGAGATGCTCGTGTCCAACAGAGGAGACAAAGGAGACTATCTCTACGTTATGGGAGAGCTTGAGATACTTCTCCGCAATAGCACCGGCAGCCACTCGACCTGGAACTGTGTGTTAACAGAGATACTACCTGTGATGATTTGGCTTGAGTATATAGCACAAGGAAGCCATACCGATGGTCTCTCGTGCACTGCTTCTGCCGCCACCACTGCTGGCCTTGACGCCGTACTTTTCCAGGTAGGTGAAGTCAGCATGGCTGGGTCGAGGGTACATGTCCATGGTGCTGTTTCCATAGTCCTTGGGCCGCTGGTCTTCGTTCCGCACCACCATGCCTATTGGCGTGCCCAGGGTGATACCGAACTCGGTTCCAGACTGTATCTCGACCCTA